TTTAAGTACCAACGGGCTAATTCTAATGGTAATTTTGTAATTCAGTTTTCTCAGCTTTGGAAGGAGCTAGAACAAAATTTTTTTTATCATTAAATAGGGAATTGTTTATACTATATACACCACTATTCAAAACAAAAAAATTCGCACCTACGATTTTTTCAGAAAACGCCGCCTAAATGCCCACTGTGCAGTGTCATTACTAAATTAATATCTATAAGCGCTTTTTAGATAACTTTTAACTTTGTCTGTAGTATACCCTACTGCCAATTCGAAAATTGTATGGTAGAAGAAGCTTATTTAATGTACATTGAACTTCAGATGGTAGAACGTTTCTATTAGATGACAAATGAAAGTATTTATGAAATTTTTTCAGCAGAATTGGGTTTGAGACCTTGAACTAAGAGACGTAAACATTCAAGAATTGTCAAGAAGTTAAGATCTTCAGTCTTTGAAGTTTTTTGACTTTTTATAAACAGGATCTTGGTACTTCTTGAATCATTGTTTTATTTGCAAATAAATGCAAATAATTTCACTTTTTTTACTTTTTGAACTTTCTCATTTGTGAAAGAGGTTAAGAAACGATTGATAGTATGTCTGACCACTATGGCTATCATACATAAAAAGAAAATAGAAAAGGTTTTCTATTTAAGATCTTAAAACAAAAGCTTGGCTTCCTTCGTTCAAGATCTTTATATTTATTTTCAAAAGATCTTGGGTACAAGAAGTTTTACCTGGGCCCGTTTCGCCGTTTGTCAATAAAACTCTTCATATTGTCTAAAGATTTCCAGTTGATTTTGCAGATTGTACTAAATAAAGTTACAGCTAATCCTTACTTTGATTAGTATTTTTTATTTATTATATTCTATTTATTTTAGATGAACCAAAAATTCTTTTGTCCACGACTTTCCAACGTTTTACACAATAACATCTCGTTAACCCCGAAGTCCTCGCATCCGTTCTGTATCGATCAAACTACACAACGAGCTAGTGCCTTCACGGCATGTACGCAGAAACATGGAGCTTTCGGACCATTACATACAAATACAGGTAATTGATATCATCAATTTGATACCTCTATATCATACATTTTCTTGTTGTAGCAACACGCCAAAAGAGCAGTTGCCAAAGAGCAACAGCCAAAAGGAACGTTAAAACAGCAACAGCCACCATATCCACCGCAAAGGATAGACACTTATTCTTTCCGTAATAAAACCCTCGACTTTTTATATTCTTTTTTGTCAAAACTGATAGCGCACGATTGTGAACAACAAACGGATTCGCTTATCACAGAAATGAATTTGCCAGTGCTGTGTTCAAAACGTTTATATGGTTTATGTGCGGACGCAGCTGAGATGGTAGCTTGGCAACGCATGGCTCTTCAAGAGCTTGAAAGCAGAATTGGTAATAATAATTAACTGAGGTTACTTTTGTTGTATCGCATGTTCATCTGTTGTAGCCAAATGTCAGCGTCACTTGTACCGTGATTTGGTGAAGAGCAAACACTTTGAGCGACAGCAAGTGCGTTCAGGACAGTGTTCGTCTAAGTTGAGCCGACATACTCAAGGCATTTAACCCACCCAGTTAAAGTAAGAATGCTTTACCTGGTTATAAAACCCTGTAAGATCGATATCATCTTTTACCTTGTGTGTTTTGTAGATCGATTAAATGCGAAGATCTGACTCGAACGGAGCATCAGACAAAAGTAGAAGATTATTATGATGAAGAACTTGATTATAATATTGATTGGTGAACCCATCATAATGACTAGACGTTTTCCTGTTTGTCTAGCTGTTTTTTTATTTTTTGTTCGTTGTACATCACTTGCAAATGCTTCAGAGTAAAATCAAATTGTCTATAACTGAATGTTTAAGCTGTTAAAAAGTTCATGTAAAGCTTCAACTCAGAAAGAAGCTTGGAAAAATATTTAAAAGAGAACAGTTTTCCACTTTTTGGAGAATGGTTCGCATTTTTTTCTCCTTTCAGCTATAAAAAATATCCGTTCTCTAAAAAACTGCGAACCGTTCTCCAAAAAGTGGAAAACTGTTCTCTTTTAAATTCTTGTCCAAGAAACGCAATAACTTTGATTGCCTTTAATTTCTTTACACATCGGCTGTATGTAATCTCTAGATTTGGATCTCATCTTTCTTATCATGTAAGTTTTAGAATAAATTTAGTTAGTGTTTTATGATACATTCCTTTTTAGAATGTTTGTGAACTAGCACTGGCAACGGTGAAGTCGAAAGTCTAGGGCAAGGTGACTGACATCCTCCCATAGGCAAAAGCGCTTACAGATTTGTTACATCCGATCATGGCGGGGCCTGAATATCACCATCTATGAAGATTGTGGAGTGGTATTGATAAAGGAAGATCTTTTAGCTGAGATAGAGGATATAGTTCAAATGACAGCAACAATACCGTTGAGTAATTACGGCTGTCATGTACTTACTCTAAAACAAGCAGAACAATTAGACATTTGTCGAGATTTATTAGATAATCAGGCAAAATTTGAACGCTCACATCCACCTGCTGATGACGAGATTCACGAGATATTACATGAGACGTCGCATGAAGAATCAGAAATTCTGACAAGTTTTATTAACCAGGAGGGCTTGATACAGAAATTTGCTAGTACTGACCCTAGCAACGGTTACATATTTCCACTTGTTAAATTACCACCACCACACCTAAAGAAAAATATGGACGCGAGGTTTCCAGCTGTACAAAAGTTGAGCTGTGAAGCAGAAAAACAATTCAATGAGTTAGTCAGTTATGGTATAGGAGATCATGCTGTATATGATGGCAAATTATATCAAGTGATAAGTGATGTTCATTGCAATAAACAATTGCAAACGTGTCAATCTCTAAATTCTCACCTTGCCTACCATGGATGGAAAGTCATCGGAACGTGTGTTAAGAGTATCATATCAACTACTCGATCAAAACGAGACTTGTTCTCGGTCGCTGTTGAAACAACAAATAGCAAAGCGACCAGAAAACAGAACGAACAATTGATCTTTAACATTAATAACAAAACAGTAGCTCCGGAGAATTTCATTACGAATTTTCCGAAAAAAAAGAATTGCACCTTTACTTTCTGCCGTTGTACCGTTGATTGCTTCAGGTTTCGGTGCTTTAAAAAGTATTTTCGATAGTGGTATAGGCTTGACAAATACTATTTTGCACCACCGTCTAGCTCATTCGGTTGAAAAGATACGAACTGTGGTCAATACGCATCAAGGTATATTGAAACAGCATTCATCATTACTTTTGAAACAGGACGAACAGTTAGTGATCAGCACAGCGTTGATTGATTTTGATATAAATATCAAAATATTAAGAGACGGACTGTTTAGAGCTTTTGACAAATTACACAGTATTGGTAAAACCTTATCAAGGCACAGTCGTCAAATGATTCGTGATAAAATGGAAAATAGTTTTGTGAAAATGAAATTGTCTTTTGAACGTATTGAGAAGGGAGATTTAAATTTGGACTACATGTCTATTCGAGATCAGCAAAAGCTTGTTAATATCATAGGTAAAACTGTTAAGACACGATTGTCATCTGAGGCTGAAAATATGACTGCATCAGGCTTGGCCGATCGTTTACCAATTGGACAGGAAATACAATTTATTCGCATTGATGATAGTGACGAAGAAAACATATGGATAATGAAACACTTAAGGAAATAAAAAACTATAATATGTATGCGAATGACTCGTTATTGCCGCATTTACTTGGAGATTTTGTCGTAATTAATTATATTATGACTCCAAAATCCATCACTTCAAATCCAGTGCGCTTGTATAGGTGTGTACATATTTTTTATAAACTTTTATTAAAGGTTTATCCTACAAAAACCCATAACGAAAAATTTTTATTTAGATTAGTAAACATACCGCAGTTTCTACCTAATTAGAACAAAGCACCACAAACAAAGAACTTGCCAGAAACATTTGGATTAGCTGCTGATAGAAGCTTTTATGAATATGGAAGCGAGAATGAATATAATCACAATAACGAACGTAATAACGAAAACTATATCCGTGGACCAATTACTTTTTGTGGAGAACATGTGCTAAAATATGACATGATCATTAATAAATGTTTAGCTGAAATAATAAATAACAATCACAATAAATTTCCTAATTCAGAAAGGCAAAACGGCGTGTGAAACTGAACAAGTGTTGTTAGATAAGCCTTACAGCAGACATTTAGACAGCAATTTATGGATTTTATCGACGAATAAAGAATTGGACTGCACTAGCTCACAGAAGACACCTGACACTCAAATTCCTTCAAGTGGTGGTGAAGATGCTCACAGTATTCATGTGACTGATATGGCTATATTACGAATAAATTGTTTCCAAAAGTTTGATTGTAACGGTTTCACATTTTACAGCGGAAACTACTGTGATGACGTGAAAAAGCTGGGTGTAATAAACCAGCAAGTTCTTTTTGAACGTCGTATGGAAATCGCAATACCAACCATAAAAAACTTGTACCTTTTAATTCTTCCATATATCGAATAGCAGTGTTAAATGCTGCTCGAGACAAAACACTTAACAATCTGACTGATATTCGCTCACTCTTGGATGATAACGACGTGTTTCTCAGCAATATCGCAACAAAACAATCATTTCTGAAAGTCTGTGCCATCATAGCTGCTGTTTCTTCAATAACAATGTTATTCTTTTTCTTTAATTTTCTTCATTTACTGTTGGTGTAGAAATAACAAAGCTTTTAAAGTTATACGATACGTTCTGTGCAAAGACGAGTATCGTTCAGCTGTTAGTGTATAAATAATAAGAGTTAGATCGATACATCTACTTCTTTACTGCTAGACGGAATGTGCACTGACCTTTCGTAAAATTGTTTATTCTTTTAGATAATAAAAATGTTTGACTAAAGTGTCGGTGTTGTTTCGTTTTTAAAACGCTAGTAATTCCATAGATCGAAACTTAGTCGAACGTTATTAAAAGTTAGAACTCATTCCATCTGACGGTAAAAAAGTCGACTTTTTATTTCGACCACAAAAGAAAGATTATGTTGTACATCGACTTTTCATTGAAACTATCCTACTTTAATGATTTTCTTCCACTTTTCCTATTTTCTTAATTGTCTTTGCTTTATTAGTCACTAAAAGGCAAATAAGCCATCATGCTTTTTTTATAGATTTGCAGTTCATTATTAAGATGATTTCTCTTCATTTTCTTTTTTTGACATATTAAATGCTGTAATACTACATCAGCTAAGATACAGGGATAATTTGATATAAAAATAATAAATAGCAGGAAATAAACTGATACATACGACTCTCCAGTTGAATTTCTTAACCACTTAATATCTAGTTTTCTACCTGTCGCAAGATACAGCCCTTCATTTTTCGAGAAAAAAAGAAAGTAGTTATGTATCGTAAACCTTAGAAGTCAAAATATGGTCCTTTAAGCGGATATAAACCAGAGACAACAGGCAGATAGAACTACATAACAAAAACAGATGACAGCCATTATTCTAACAAATAATCTAACCTTCTGGGTGTGGGACCATTCTTCTACTATAATGCATTTAGTAAACAATTTTTTCGCTGATCACAATAGAAATTTAGTCATCCTCTTTAAAAGCCTAGCGCGTCGCCCTGTCTTTGTTGAAGACATTTACTTTATACATGCACTAAAAATGACAAAAGTACACAAAATATGGTGAACTACTCACACTGTGTCAAACGTTTTCTAGCCTTGTTTCACATATCCTGCATATATCCTACTTTTTGCTATAAATCTCTCATAAAAAACTTTACAATTCTACCCCCCCTGCTTTTTGTTTTTTGTTGTTACGGACCCTGACATTTACAATTGTACTAAGCTTTGTTCCTAAAATTTGCATAAAAATAAAAAACTTAAAAAAAGAATTTCTTTTCTTTTCTTAACTTTAACATGGAGCATATTGATTGATGTCTTTATCCTTTATCAGTAGGTATTGTCTAGATATCCGTTAGGTAGCAATTATGTTTATCAATCAATCAAACAAATCTGTGTTTATCAAACTATAAAACTTACAGGAAGAAGCTCTTTGAGGTATTGCTACTTCTCCGTATATATAAAAATGGTATGTGTACATACTACGGGTGGCTCTTTACTTGTTACTCGGTGTTACTTTACCAGTAAAGTAACAAAAATTTGTTACTTTGTTACTAGCAACCACTAACAACTGCGTTTCTTGTTACTAGTAAGAAAGTAACACATGTGTGTTACTTTCTTTCTTACTCTTGGTAAAGTAACAAAGAACAAGTTTTTTTTCTTTTCTCAGAAAAACTTTTTTGAAAAGGTTTTTGTGAGGGTGAGGGTGGAATTATTTCACCCTGATAAAACCCTTTTCAAAAAGCTTTTTTTGAGAAAAGAAAAAAAACTTGTTCTTTGTTACTTTACCAAGAGTAACAAAGTAACACACATGTGTTACTTTCTTACTAGTAACAAGAAACGCAGTTGTTAGTGGTTGCTAGTAACAAAGTAACAAATTTGCACCTGTTATTACTAATTACTAATAATAAGTAACAAAATTGTTACTTGTGCTACTAGTAACAGTAATGGTAAACAGCCAGCCCTAGTACATACTCATTTACAGTATTCATTTTTGCGACAAGTAACGACCTCTATAGCCGAGCTATAACGCTGTTTTCAAAAATCTTTGGATCTTTCTCCTCAATATGAAATATCCTTTTCAAAAATTGCAAAGTTACCGATCAAAATTTATGTTTTCAGTTAAACATTTGACCAATGCAAATTTTATTCTTTACTTTCCTTTGCGGGTCCATCTGTCCTGATTATTCCCTTGACTTTAGTCTAGGGTCTTACGAAATGGTTGTCTGTGTATCTGTGCGCAAAATACGGAAAAATGGGTGTTAGATATTCTATGGATAAGCGAATCACAAGAGACAAAGATAGAAAATTATTTTTTACATAAGAGAGAAAATATTCAAAGAGCTCATCTGAAATATCTACTGATGTAGAGAGGTAAACAGCTAAGCAAACGTTTTCTGTATAGGCCGGAGGTAGATGTCGCCAGGTAGCAGTCAACTATGACAATAGAAAAAAAGTCGTATAAGATTAATAAAATTGACAGTGTATAAATAATCTATTATAACAAATCGATCAGAAATACTTCCAACCTCCTTGGGATTTGCAGAGGGCGTGCAGAAAACCTTTTAGCTTTATATTACATTAGATGGTTTTCCGATGGAATCAGAGAAGTTCATAGCATTTCTCATCTATACTGGTTGCGAACGCCGACAGAAGGGAAGCATGAGGATTGTTTTGAATTTAGACCTCTTGACATTTTTGCTCTTTATATTCATATTAGATTCCGAACCTTATACATGAAAACAGAAAAAGTCCAGAAGATGTCTTAGGCAGGTCTCCAGCGAGCGCCGACTGAAGGGAGGTGTGAGTATTGTTTTGAATTCATAAATATGTTTAGACCTCTACAGATTTTTGATTTATATATTTATATCAGATTACGAACCTTATACATAAAAAAAGAAAAGCAATTCAGAAGATGCCTTAGTTAACGCCCCAACGAGCGCCGACCGAAGGGAGGCGAGAGCATTGTATTCGATTTATTAGTCACCAACGGATGCCTCTTAATAGGCATCCTTCCAGTAAGGGTTCTGCGAATCGGAGATGAGCGTTACTTGTTTCTTCTGAAGACGAAAAAAGCATTTATGACGATACTAAAAAACAGTAAATAAGTGGACAAGGAAAGGAAACAGAGTACTACACGAATTTTGTCATAGGTCACCGTTCTTGTTGATGAAACAAAACAGACAGTGTTAAAACTACTCAAATTGCACATTGGTTTCCCGCTAGCCATCATGGTAGCTTTAGTGCCGTCAATGCAATCAAATATTAGAAAAGTGTTCCTCAAATTCATTGGATGAAAGTTTTGAGTTAAAACAAGCGACAAATAATATATAATTTCCTCATATTTCTGCCTTCTGAACTGAACTGAACTGAACTGAATTTTTATTTTTGCAAGCATGGTTGTTGCAAAGAAAGGCTAGCTTATGCTAATGCAACACCGAAAAAAGTGAAGAAATAAAGAAATACTAAAAGAACAAGTAACAGATAAATTATAAAAGTTGAAGATGCTGCTTCAAAAGACTCTTATAGATTCTGTGACTGGTTTGATTCACAACAGTGCATGGTAGCACATTCCAGTCGTCAGAGGTATGGGGAAAAAATGACCCCGAAGCAGACTTTAGAGAATAGTAAGGTTTTCGAATTTGTTTATCGTGCGCTATTCTAGACGACCGTCGATTTGTTGGCGGAGTAATTAGGTTTCTAGCAGACAAAGCACTTCTTCCGTTGTATAGTTTGTGAAAATAAGCAAGGCGAAAATATTTTCGACGAGCGGAGAGCGGCGCTAAATTTAGCCGAGTGAGAAGTTGCGAGGAACGACTGTCATAATCTCTAAGGATTATTCTACAAGCCAACTTTTGTACGTTATCTAACACAGAGAGATGAGAAATGTAAGACGTATCATATAGAATGCAGCAGTACTCCAAAGTTGGACGTACGCAGGTTTTATATATTCTGGGCAAGCACCGTCACTGAGATATTTACTGAGGGCAGCATTGGACAAGTCCTCAATACAGCACTTTGGTGGTGCTCTCACCGAATATCTAAGTAACGGTACTGGCCCAGAAGGACGAAATATAAGAAAATGAAATATTATTTGTGGCTTGTTCAACTTAAAACTTTCATCCAACGAATTTGAGCATCACTTTTCTAATATTTGAGCCTAACATTTGTGATGTTAAAGCTAAAGTGGATACTCTGGCTAGCTGTCTGGTCACGTGCCATTAGTCTGATGTTACATCAGATTGAAATGTGATTGTGAGATGCAAGCAATGAACATCTCGGTAACAATCGCTCACCAGAAAAAAATTGAAGTGAACATGAAATCGTATTTAATTTTTTTTTCAAATTGTTCCTTGATGCTCTTTGACTCTGCAATTGATAATTGCCCAGCCTACCTCCAGGTCGATGATTCCAGATCATGAAGATCTGATGTCGAAATACAGCACAATCCACGTGGAACCGTGCCGGATTATGTCGGAAAAGATCCGATCGGATCCTTCGAGGTCCAGACATCGTATTTCGCTAGATCTGGCAGAATGTGACCAGTTTTCAGGTGTTTCAAGCCTAAAATTAGCGTTTAATGTTTGATTTCATATTATTTTTGTTTCGTTTTCTAGTGGCTCCCTGCTTCAGGAGAGTGGAAGAGCCTACTAACTAGGATGTGAACAACACGTCAGTTGAACACTATGAGTGATGACTCATACCGCTCGTATTTTGAGAAGAAATCAGTGAGAAACTTATATTTTTTGCTCAAACTATTAGATTTTACACAAATTCATAGAATCTTCTGATATCTCACGTAGCTATTCATGTGCAGCCGAAGTTCTTCGCTCACACTTAGTAGCGTAACTAAGCCCTGGCATGCGAAGGCGTCGCCTGGGCACCGGTGAAAAGGGAAATCTAGATTTTAGAAAAAAATTCATACTACGCTTTATGAGTCCAAAAATACATAGGGCGTACCCACCATTTCCTGGTTACACTCACACTACTTTTTTGTTCGACCAATTATATGAGAGAATAACCGAATAAATGTAAATTACGTTTCAATCATGTTGATCGTAATCATTTAACAATGCTAAATGTTAATTTTGCATTTATATAAAATCTTGAAGATCGTATGTAAACGCATTGAAAGTGCAACAAAAATTTTGTTAATTATTATTTGCTGACGTCGGACAATGTATGAAGAGATAATTTTAAACGTCAATTGATTTTACACTACAAGATTATTATTTGACTATACGAAAAGTTCTGGTCGCGGGCGTTTGCCATGCGATTTTATCTTAAGCTAAAATTACTCAAAAGATTTCTTTACAATATCAAAAGACAGAAAACTTTTTGTACGGTTTATTGTATTCCTTTCAATATCTACCTATTTGATAGAAGTGGTGGAAGGCACAAAAAGTTACTCTGCTCAGCACTTTATTCGATTGAGATGGAATTTTAGCTGTTTCATAGTTTCCGTGTGTGATCTGAAGACGACATCAAAACGAAATTTCCAGACCGTGTGTTGTGATACGAAAATCAACTGTAGTATAGGCCCTTGGACCAGCTAGTCTTACCTTGCTCCACTCACAAAAGAATTTTAACCCTAGTGCTCATTTCAAAACGACTATAAGTCTCAAGAAAGAAATATATTTTATAGAGTTTAAAAATGCACATCTTTTGGTATATAAAAATAATTTTCGAAGTCATACTTTTGAGAAGAGCTTCGACAAACGTACAACCTTATTGATCCGAGGTATCTCTCCTGATATTTCGATTTTTACTAACAGATACAAACAAATCTGTAAAAACATACACACCACTGGATGGTATTGTGTATTTTCTTACTACTTGGCTTCTTTCATACATGGAATGATCCTGCTTTTCTTCGAAAAAGTTAATCAAAAATATATATCGGACTAACGAGGGAAGGTCCCCAACTACCCAGTCGCTTTTGAGCTGAACCTAAGTGGACAATAGGTAATCGAGGGTGTTGAATCCGAATATCACAATTGTTTAGGCTAACGTTGGATTTTTGAACCGGTTTTCCGAAAAACCAGTTTTTCAAAAACTCTAAAAGATAACCAGAACCTTTCTTAATAAGGCCTGCTTGTAGCCCGCAGATTTCTGATTAAAATAATACCTTTACCAGCTCTACATGACTTTTCTTTGCAAAGTTATAGAATTTACAAGGAAAGCTCTAAATCTTGCTACAGAAATAAAGAAAAAATTAACTTGCCCTCGTAAGGCTAGATGGCAAAACCGCTTTTATATGAATTGTAAACAGTGAATGAGAATAACTCATGCGAGCGAAAAGGAGAAAAATCAATAAAAATCCTGTTTATGAATAGATAAATATTATTGGAAAATAATGGTTTAACTGATTCTTCCGGGTTAGATTCGCGCATCTCAAAAAGGATCTTTCGGAGATAAGTTATGAAAGTACTACTAGAAGCCCTAAAATATGCACTGTAGTAAAGTTATATGCATCGTAGCTGTTGTGCCATTTGGTTGAACTAAGTGTTACTTATAACATCCGCTCAACTAAACGAATTTAATTATTAATTTTTGTTTTGCTAATTTAGAAATATCTATTCACTTACGAAAAAATTACTTGTTTTGTGGCAACAGACCCGCTCACTTTTCACTTTTTATGACTGTTGCAGTATTTTGAAGATTTATCCCACAAAACTTGATCAAAACGCGATTAAAGGGCGATATTCGGAATCAGCTTGACGAGCTCTATCCAACCATGTATGTTTTGAGAAAACCTATTTTTCTGCTTACCTTTCGAATTTCGTTTGAGTATTTTGGTTTGAGTATTTTGACTTTGGTTTGATACAAGCCTGATAATATTTACAAGCATTTGTCTCAACCTTTCTAAATTGAGTTTATGTGTATGACTCAAGTAATATCATTTATAGAATTGTATGCTGTAAAAGGAATACTGAGAACAAAAGAAAAAGATTTTTATAAAGAAAAGAAAGTAAAAACATACGATAGTTATGCAAAAGTGTTCTGTCTTACGAGGGAATCTCCCGAGGTGATAAATTGCTTTTTGATCGATATCTAGTGGATTATAGGTTATCGACCATGCTGATTCCGACTATGACCATGGGACTTCCCCATAGCTCTTCGAAGATCTAGTCTTCTGGAAAACCAGTTTTCGGAAACCCCGCAGAATAACTCAAGCCTTTCTTAACAGTTCAGGATTGTAGCCCACAAATTTCTGATTAAAATGAAACATCCCCCAGCTCTACACGACCTTTCTTTGCAAAGTTATAGAATTTATAAGAAGAGCCCTAAATTAATTCTTTCCTTCTTATTTCTGTAGCTTTGAGCTGACAATGAACAATTTAGGGCTCTTCTTATAAATTCTATAGCTTTGCAAAGAAAGCTCGTGTAGAACTGGGGGATGTTTCATTTTAATCAGAAATTTGCGGGCTACAATCCTTAACTGTTAAGAAAGGCTTGAGTTATTCTGTGGGGTTTCCGAAAAACTGGTTTTCCAGAAGACTAGATCTTCGAAGAGCTATGTCCCATGGTCATAGTCGGAATCAGCATGGTCGATAACCTATAATCCACTAGATATCGATCAAAAAGCAATTTATCACCTCGGGAGGTTCTCTCGTTAGTGATAAAGAGCTTGATAATATATATACGTGCTGAAGGTGAAAAAATGGAAAGAAATATATATAAAGGGTGGATTACGAGTCAAACATAGCTGTTTATTTTGTAGAATATAAAAGCCCATGTCGCGCATTTTTTGAGAATACCGCCCTATGTGTGCAACTCAAGCCATTGTTAATACCATCAGTAGCCAGAATTGAGTTATTAGTGAAACATAATATTTTTACTTCGTGCAAAGCCAGGATTTGTTCGGCACACATATTTAAAGACCGATTACAAGTAGATATTTGAATTAACGACAATAGTTACTCATCGCTATCATGAAATAACTTCATAACAGTTGTAACTGAAAAGAAGAAGGTGAAAAACAGTTTGTATCTTAATAAATTCAACGACAAATCGTTAAACAAAAATTCTTCTTTATACGTGAATAAACGTACATTCTCACATCATGGCGCTGACCTAAGCCTAATTCATTTTTATGATCCAACCACAACTACACCATCACATGCACGTGTTGGTGATTCAGCTCAAACTAAGTTCAAATTTTTTAATTAATTTTTTAATTTTAAAAAAATTAAAAACCAGTTTCTCTTACTCAACTCATTGCGCCTTCTCCAAACATGTATAACGAAACGAAAAATACTTTTTTATTGAAAGTTCGAATTTCCAGCATGTTATCTTACCAGTAAGAACACATTATTTCAAAATCTTTGCCAGTTTACATACGACTAGGTCCTACGAGAAAACTGGTTGCTTTATCTGGTCGAAGACGATGTGTTCTCCAGAAACAAACCAGTGATTACTTTCTTGCAAGATATATTTTCACCTGCTGTAATTGCTTGCAGTACCGTTTAACGTCAGGATTATGAGCAGCTAATGTCTTTTTGGCGGTTTTAACAGCTAATTCAAAATAATATTCAGCCATTCGAAAATCGATTTTTCGTCCATAAGCTACTCCCATACAGTTATAAATTTCAGCTAACTGTGGGTGTTCTTCATCTTGTCTCGAAGCTAAATCAATGGCTTTTTCGAGCATAAGTATTGACATCGTATAGTTTTCATTCCGATAGTATAATCTATTCATGTTATAATATACCTTTATCATAACGTATGCAAGCTCTTGTTGAGATATTGCAGATGATGACTGATGTTCATTATAAAGCTGATTGACATCATTAAAATATTTCATTGCCATTGAATAATTTCTTTGCCTAGAGTAAATAGCAGCAATATTGTTGTGATAGCACATTCGGTACAGTACACTATCTAGTGAGGATTTTTGAAGTTTTTGCTCGAATTCGTCTATTAATCGCTCTTGTATCTGTGAATCGTCGGATGCCCATCCGTCCTCGTAATCTTCCCTATTGAAGGATTCGTTATCAAAACGATTAATTTTAGAAACCTCAAAATTTTCTTCATGATTTTTAACGTCGATCTTCCTGAGGCACGCATTTTTATCTGCTATTTCACGGTACTCTGTCATTTTACTGATATCATCCTGTTTCTCATAAATTTCCGAAAATAATATATATGTATGGAAAAATAATTCATGGTCAGCAGGTAAGGGAACGTTTGAAAATGTATTCCGGTCGGTCGGTCGCTATTCCTCTATTCCCCAACTGTTCCTCTCTTATTCCTCTGTCATTCCTCTATTCCGCTCTTCCTCTATTCCCCAATTATTCCTCTATTATAGAATTTAAATTCTAATTTATTTTATTTTATTTTGTATAGTTCGGTTTCTTTGATTGTATTGTTGATACTTACATCGGCATATATTTCCAA